AATACACAAAATTAGCTCATGGTGGAAAATTCATATCTTGTGGATATATTGTGAAACAAGTATATTGATCCAACAGCTTAAATAATGGTAAAGATGTTTGTAAAGATTATCTTTTTTTCCAAAATTTTATTACATGTACTCTAAGGAGAATTAAAAAACAACAACAGTTGTTGATGGGTATTTTGGCAAAAAGAAAAAAGGGACTCTATTTTATTATTTATGAATGCAACAATAACAACTTTTGTGGTCCCTCTTCTATATTTCCTGATTGCATAAATGGTTTTCTGTTCTTCATTAGTTCATATCTTGTTTTTATAAAAATATTACATAAAGTCCAATAAGCTAAGATTTTCCATGAAATGTTTGTATAATGCTTTCTCATTCCCCTGTCAGTGGTGGCGAACCTATGGCACGAATGCTAGAGGTGGCACTCGGAGCCCTCTCTGTGGGCACACGTGCCGTCACCCCAGCCCCGCCTCCCCCACTGTTCCCTTCACACCAGCCCCCCAGGAGGAGAGTCGCCCCCAGGCACAGCCCACCTGGAGCAGCGCAGCCAAGGACATGGCAGTGGGGACAAGATTCCGCCCTTGCGCCCCATCGAAACGGATGATGCTGTGGGGCACGGGTGGAGGGCGTGGCCGCCATGGTGCTACTAGGCCACCTGGGCGATCTGCGGCGGGCCGTGGAGGTGGTGGGTGGCCCTGCGGGTGGGTGGGGGCGGGGCAGGGGTGGAGCGGGAGTGGAGCAGTACTGGGGTGGGGCAGTTTTTGGGCACTCGGTGTTCACCATCACTGCCCTAAGGTTCACCATCACTGCCCTAAGTCCTACACATACAGCCAAGCACAAAATGTAGGCAAAGTGAATTATATATAATGATTCTATCATTAATTTTTTACTGTAATATAATCTCTAAACTAATCAATTTGAAATTGAACTGGTCATGCATTCTAGAACTGAAGTATTGTAATGGACTATTATAAAGTGTTAATTAAAATCATTACTGTTTTTGTTAATCACTTTAGCCTCAAAATTCAAATTATGTTGGTATAAATAAAATTAAAACAATTAATCTCCATTTCTGTCTTTGTAAGTGGAACACTACAAAAGGAAATATTGGTACTGAAAATGATTTAACTTAATTAACTATCCCAAACATAACACATCTTTGGATTTCCAGACCAATGTCTTTTCCATTTAATTCTCACAAAATCAGTATTTATTTCTCTGATTTTAAGTATCTGCTTTCTTTCAAAATCTTATTCATTTTGTTATAAAGCTCTATGGTCCTGTGGATTCAAGTTTAAATACCCTAAATCTGAAGGAGAAACTCTTCTATTGCAGGGCATTCCAGTAACCTTTTTTAAAAATCTGCATTTAAATGACTATGTATGAAAGCCTATAATTGGTTTCCTTATCAATATTTAATTTACTATGTACAGTTGTTTATTTTATATAAAGAATAATTCATTGAAGAAATCTACATAAGCAATCTGAATTGGAATACTTATTTTCTTAATGAGAATCAGACATGATCTTTAACTCTGATAGTA